CCGCCTCCTAATATAATGAATTAGTCTAAACTCTCGTTCGAACCCATCCTAGGCACTTCTCCCACCCTTGAAATTAGGTGCAGGTGTTAATAAATTAGTCTAGCAACAAAGGAAATTCATTTCAGTTTGTTGGAAAATGTCAGAAATGCAAAGTGCTGTTGTTAGAAGATCGTATTAAAGTTATCACAACAGCAATTAGCGGCGAAGTTTAACTGTGGGAAAACAAAATTTATTTTACCCTAGACCTACAGTATTTTCCTTGGGGGTGTAAAATATTGTACACGATACAATTAATCGGCTGATCTCATCGTTTGATAAAATCTATTTTTATTTATTTATTTTGAAGCTCATATACAGTACACGTGCGATAAATAGTTTCTGTATCAACCTACCTTATTTCCACGATATTTTTAGAAAAATAATATCCAAGTAATTTTCGCAGGCAAAATATTCAAAAAACAATAAACGCATTAATGCAAAAATCAGTTTTACTTCCTTTTTCAATTCCGCGATTGTAATAAAATCGTATAATGAGAAAAAATAATAAAATCGTTATTATTATTAATTAATAATTTTTCTTATTGTACTTAATTAATTAAGAAAATATTAAATATTAAAAAATACAGTATTTTTAAAGTTAAACTAAGATTAAACTAACGAAAACCAAAAGCAAAATGATGTAGAGATACAACGCGCTTGTATATCGATGGCGTAATACACGTAACTGAAGAGCGAATGAAAAGAACCGAGTCAAATTAATTAAGTTGGAAAAAAGAAAGTGTGCATTATAATTGAGAAAATGCAAGTATTGTATTAATCTTTAAAATAGTGGTGTTAAATCTGTCTTATAATATCATGACTACGCCTGTAAATCGGATTATCCGATAAGAATAAAATACAATACCAATATAGCCCTATTGTTGAAAAAATTTGCTTATTTTTGCTAGCCTGAAGTTTTGCTTAGTAGAAATGACTAAAAAGTGTGCAAAATACATACGGAAATATGGTATTACAGCATCATCTGTATTGGACAACTACCTGTCTAAAAGACCACTTTTTGAAGGAACCGTGGGTGGTCGCCATAGACAGGTTTTACTGTATATATATATTTTTTGAAGTTTTTTAGTTAGGCAGCCAGAAAAACTATCTAGGCAGTACACCTGGAAAAAGGGCCTGGGAAGAACACAGCTTATGAACTGAAACAGTACATAGCATCATACTGCTTTGTTGATGTTTGAAGAGTTATAAAATTTGAAACAATTTTAATATCAAAAGTCAAAAACCAAAGTAGTATTGACAATATTTTTTTTGAAATAAAATTATTCATGAGAAATTGATCAATATCAAGTTTTAGATTATCTGATAATCCAGTTGAAATTTACAGAACAAGACTTCAATGACATTTAACCTCTTGATTACACTTAACCAAAACATTAAGTTTTTTTATATTTGATAAAAGAAAAAATAATTTTCTCAACTTTGAAGATGTGCAGAACTGTGTGAATAAGAGAATTTTCCAATTTTAAATTCACATCAACCAGCTGCTTTTTAAACCATCTGAAAGTCAAATTTTTATAGTTCATCTCTAGTTAACTGCAAATTTAAAAATAAGCATTTTGTTGAAACTAAATGATTTTTCTGACAACTATTTTTCCAAGAGCCATTATATCCATTATGCCTTAACATAACACATTACTATTACTTTTCACCTGTAGCACTTGCATAAAAGAATACAATGTTGATGTTTTGAAATCTTAATTCCAAATGACTTCTCATCAAATTTAACAAGGTTTTGAAAGCAAAATTTCTTGCAGAAAAAAATTCAATCTTATCATTTCATCTCAAATCATGAATATGAAATGATAAACAATATTTAAGTTGATTTTTGGTGAATCACATTAGCCACATAATATATCCGTATGGCTACAAAAATGAAACTAAACAACTTTTATATGTTCAATTCTTTTGTAAACTTTTTAGTATGTGCATGAATCATGGATAAATCATCAAACAAAGAAATGTAGTCCTCTCATTGGAATCTTGTCCAAATCTTGTCCAGTACTAATTTCATAAAATTCAATTCTTCTACTTCTTCAATTTTGACTTCCAAGTCATTCATTTTCCTATAAAATTTCTATTTTCTTTTTAATGTTTGTTACTATTATTTTAAAAATTTCAAACTTAATATATCAGAACAATTGCTGTGATTTAAGACTTTCAAGTCAATTTAACATCAGTACTTTTTCAGTGCAACAGGTTTTGCTTAATAACTAAAATAATAGACTTGCACTACAAAACCTAAGCCTTACACATTTTACATGCAAACTCAAGTTAAGATAAGCATAAGAATTAAGATTAAGACCAAAATAATTAAAAAACAGAAAACTTTTGACATACAAAAATTGGCAATGAGACATGTTCAACAAAACCAAAGTCTCATTGCTAATTTATTTAAACAAAAATGATTTGTTAATCAAAATTGAGAAATTTAAAAATTAAACATCTAGAAAAGCTTAACACAGATGGATAAAACATTTAGGAACAGCTAATACCAGGCTGAATCTACTGACTGAACAAATGGTTATATCAATTAATGTAGGCTTCTGTTATTTACTGTAAAATTCCAAAACATTCATATTTCCACAAATGTACATACAGTAATACCCCAAACTTATGCGAGAGGTGGGATCGAGCGATAACCTCATAAGTCAGGGTATAATTTCGCAATTTGTGTAAAATCCAAGTCAGATGTATGTAAGCTAATAAATGTTCTCGTTAATCTTATCTCAACTTTTGATTCGTTCACGGTTACAAGAAATTACCACATAGAGTCTCTCAAGTCTCCTTAGATATAACAACACAAACAAATAACACAAAATAAACTGTAGCTATGCGTCGATTCCACGCGACACGTTCGAACATGTAAGCTGAACAATAGTGTGGGGGAGTGAGTAATCAAGAGTTGTGTGGTGCTCAAACAAAAGACGAATCAATAAGATTTGAAAATCATGTAACTCTGTGTTCACGTAAGTCAGGGTAGCGTAAGTCAAGATATTACTGTACTGTATTACTAAAATAATGCATGCAACTTTTTATAACAAACTGTTAATGTAAAACCAAGCATATGACTTGAGAAAATAATAACCAAGAAAATATGAATCATTTTAATTGTGGAGAAGTCAAATATTTCGACTGTTTTCATATTAATTAAATCTATTTTAGCAATTTACCTGAAGGATTTTTTGAAAATAATTCAAATGATCAACTAAGAGCAATAGTCGTCAACTTTCAAATATAAAATGCATTTGTCATGCATTAATAAAACTTGGCTATAAAAAATGTTCAATTTATGAAGAGTGGTTAATGTACAGTGGTTCACAAATCCCAATATTCAAAAAATACTTAAAATATTAATTATGTTTAAATAATTTAAATTTTTTATTTCATAAAATTTAAATAATTTTGAAGTTAAATAATGATTTTCAATTTCAATATTAACACTATATAATTATTTTTAGTCAAATACTTAAATTATTTAGGAGGAGAAGAACAAGCATCAAAAATGACAAATGAAATAAACTATGAATATTTCAATAAATTAACAGAAAATAATATTCAAATGATCATCTTATTTTAAAAATGTAGTTAAAAGGATACAAGAAACTGTCAATTGTTTAATAAAAATCTGACTGTGAACTTTAAAAAACAATAATAATTTAATTTATTGCACATAAATATCAATATAAATAATTCATTATATGATTATTTGAATATTAAAAATTAATGTTTAGGTTTTTCCCTATACATTTTAATTAATTACCTGAAGAATTAAATTTATTTAACATGCAATAAACTAATTTTCATTTCCACTTGTTTCAAAATTCTTAAAATTATCAATTTACTGTTACAGTTTTTGATGTTACAATGTAGTATTTAATTTAGATAAAATTATAAAGAAAAACTGAAACATTAAAATATTTTCAATAGTTAATTATTTAAAAAATGATATGATTTAAATAGGATTTAATATATACAAAATTATATTTGAAATATAATATAAATAAATTTTATGTTAGGATAGGAATTTAAAAGGATTTAATAATATACAAAATAGGATTTAATATATACAAAATTATATTTGAAATATAATATAAATAAATTTTATGTTTCATTTAATTTTGTAATATTTATTTATAGCAATTTTTTTACAATATTCATTACTAATTTTAATATAAGTGAAAAGTTTTAATTTTTCTTTCACTTGTTGAATTTAAATTTTACCATTCATTGATGATTAATCATGAACAGAAATTAGTTAAGAATAAGTATATCAATTTCTGACATTTTTAGAATTTTTCTGTTACAGGAAATGCTTTAAAATGGATGTGTCTAAAATTACTTGGCTAAAACTATCTTTTTGGCATATTATTTACAGTAAAGCATCAATTATCCGACCCCCGATTAACCGTCACATCATTTAACCAACCGTTCTAGTTGGCAAATTTCAAATGTCTGCTAGTGATGTGGCATTACAATATTTGGCTATATCTTGGCTACTTTAATATTATTTTTGCATGTTTTAGCTGGCAACAGGGTTCGATTATTAAAGGGCGACCAGTATTTAAACAAGACTTAATTTTCTAATTATGAGTGGTTGTTTGTTTTGTGAGCAATAAAATAATTTAAAAATAATTTTTAACGATACAATAGTGATGATTATTATTTTAAAAAAATTTGTTAGTCTTAACATCGATGAAAATTCAATGCGAAGTAGGTTAATAGCGATATACTAATATACTAATTACATGAGATATAATAATATACTATACTAATAATGTATTTTTTTCGGTTATCCGATTTTTTCAGTTATCCGACCAACCTGAGTCCCCAACTGAGTCTGATAATCAATGCTCTACTGTATTATGTTTTTAAATAATGTCACAATGAATAAATCTGTTTCAGTAAACTAAAAGATGCATCTAAACTTTAATAATACTTACAACGACGATCTCCTCTGTTTGAAAATCCACCTCTATCACGTCTTCTTGTGGCAACATCAACACGGATATTTTTACCTCCATAATGCTGAAATAATTTTAACTTTTAGAAGCTGTTTTTAATTCAGTTATATTTTAGATATACTATCTGAAATTATTACAAGTCATTCAAGTATTCATAATTATCTTCTTGCAACAAATTTTATTTAAATTTTTTAAATCAAAATATTTAGCTACATAAAAATAATCAATTTGTTATGAGAAACCTATCATACCCCAAAATAAAAAGATTATCTAATTATACAGTAAAACCTGTCTATGGCGACCACCCACGGTTCCTTCAAAAAGTGGTCTTTTAGACAGGTGGTGCTGTAATACCATATTCCCGTAAGTATTTTGCGCACTTTTTAGACATTTCTACTAAACAAAACTCGAGGGGAGTAAAAATAAGCGAATTTTTTCAACAATAGAGCTATATTGGTATTGTATTTTATTCTTATCGGATAACTTGATTTACAGGAATCATCATGATTTTTGTTAAGTTCAGTTGTAACATGTGTCAGGTGTGTGGATGTCAGCAAGTGGTGATGGACAGTCCACAGCTTTGTCACACGTGTCAGGTGGGTGAGGTAACAGTATCCCCAAGAATGTGAGGGAGATTGTCCCACCTAGAGAGGGAGAAATGGTGAGAGAGGGAGAACTTGTGCACTTCCCTTTGGGTGTGGGTAGAGTCAGTGCTGAGAGGAGTGCTGACTGCAGTACTGACTGGGGAGCTAACCAGTGGGTAGCTGTGTGGCTGGTCAGGAACCAGTATTGTAATTATCAAATAATTGTTGGATGCTGGAGTGTTGCTCGATTGTGGAGTACCAGAGAGTCACTCGCTGATTTGGAGACATTAAAGTGTAACTGTGTTGTTATTGTTAGAAAGGAAGTGTATACTGTGTTCTTTTAGACCGTGTAAATGGGAACATTTCATACCACCATCATCAAAACAACATTTTCATAAGACAGATTTAATACCAATATTTTGAAGATTAATACAATAGTCGTATTTTCTCGATTATAATGCACACTTTCTTTTTTCCGACTTAATTAATTCAACTCAGTTGTTTTTGTTCGCTCCTCAGTTACGCGTATTACGTCATTGATATACAAGTGCGTCGTATCTCTACATCACTTTGGTTTTGGTATTCGTTACTTTAATCTTATTTTAACATTAAAAATAATGTATTTTTTTAATATTTAATATTTTCTTAAGTACAATAAGAAAAATTATTAATTAATAATAAAACGATTTTATTATTTCTTCTCATTATACGATTTCATTACATTCCGTGATTGTCCGATTGTCATTGCAAAATCGAAAAAGGAAGATTGCCTGTAAAACTGACTTTTGCATTAATGCGTTTGTTGTTTTTTGAATATTTTGTGTGCAAAAATTACTTGAATATTGTTTTTCTAGAAATATCATGGAAATAAGATACATTGATACAGAAACTATTTATCGCACATGTACTGTATATGAGCTTCAAAATAAATAAATAAATAATTTTTATCATACGATGAGATCAGCTGATTAATTGTATCGTGTACAATATTTTATACCCCCAAGGAAAACACTGCAGGTCTACGGTAAAATCAATTTCGTTTTCCCACAGTTAAACTTCGCTGCTAATTGCTGTTGTGATAACTTTAAACACAATCTTCTAACAGCAGCACTTTTCATTTCTTTCGTTTTTCGGACAATTTTGGACAAACTGAAATGAATTTCCTTTGTTGCTAGACTAATTCATTAACACCTGCACCTAATTTCAAGGGTGGGAGTGCCCGAGGTGGGTTCGAATGAGAGTTTAGACCAGTGTTTCCTAATTTTTTTTTGTGATATGCCACACCTAAGCCTTTCTGAAGTTTTTATGCTCCCCTAACATATACAGCGGTTATATGGTTAATTTAAACTCTGGACAAGTCCATTTTTGAATTGCTCCTGTGGGGCGTGAGCCCAAAGTTGGGAAACACTGGTTTAGACTAATTCATTATATTAGGACGGGGGAAACATTAAACAATAGTTTAGACCATATATATTCGTGGAAGTGGTCGCTTATTACAGTTGGTCTATGTTGTTTCAGACCAAAAAAATCGATGCCCGCGGTTGTGTTATACAGGTGGTCGTTTAATACAGTTAACTTATACGAAGACTCTATGGATAAACTATTTGGTACAAGAAATTTTTGCCCATTTTGACAGGGGCTTGTCGAATGCAGGTGGGTCATCTAAGCAGTTTTCACTGTATATACTTTATAATTCCATAAATTTTTCTTACTGAAATGATGCACTGGAGTGCATCATTTCAGTAAGAAAAATTTATGGAATTACAACATATAACAAAATTCTATTGTTATTTCTATTCTATTGTTCTCTAACTTTAATTATCTGTAACTTGAAGTTTTTCCTATCCCATGGAGCTTTGAGTTAGAGAAAAGTTTCACTGTAGTTTGTTAAAATCAAAGGTTTACTACAAAACTATAATGCTAAATTATAAATGTGAAAATTCTGGTTTTGCTCATGTTTAAAAATAATTATTATTATTTTGACATTGAAATTTTAAAACTATGTTAAAGTTCTGAATTTATTATTTACTATTATTTTATTAAAAGTTAAAAAATTTTTTAAATTGAAAATCTAGTTTGATAGATTGCATTTTTGTTTTACCAAGTCTATTCATCAGCAGTGCCAATTGCAATAAAATAATTACATTACTGATTTATGGATTTACAGAATTTAATTCTATATTATTTTCTTTATTACAGTAGAGCCCCATAATTATCTGAGATAATATGGACCTAAGTTAACTCAAATAACCAAAGACTTAAATAAAACAGTTGGCTAAAGCCATTTCACATTAATAATAAATTTAATAAACATTTTTATACAGAGCATCGATTATCCGACCCCCAATTAACTGTCACATCAGTTAACTGACCGCTCTAGTCGGCAAATTTCAAATGTCCGCTAGTGATGTGGCATTACAATATTTAGCTATGTCTTGGCTACTTTAATATTATTTTTGTTAAATTTTTGAGTGTTTTAAATGGCATCGACGACTCGACCATTGAAGGGAGGCCAATATTTAAATGAGACTTAATTTTCTAATTATGAGTGGTTGTTTGTTTCATGAGCAATAAAATAATTTAAAAATAATTTTTAACGATACAATAGCGATGATTATTATTTTAGAAAAAAATTTGTTAGGCATCAATGAAAATTCAACGCAAAGTTGGTTAATAGTGATATACTAATAAACTAATTTCATGGGATTTACTAATATTCTAATATACTATACTAATAATGTATTTTTTTCCTTCTTTTCGGTTATCCAACCAACCTGAGTCCCCAATTGAGTCGGATAATCAATGCTCTACTGTATTTGTAAAGACACGGATAACACTTTTAAGCCTTTTTTATACCATAGGGAATTTAATCATATATAATAACAATTTTTACATCATTACATCCAATACACAGTTTTAAGAATAATTATTTTAGTTACAATTTAATATGCTGATTTGTCTCACATTGAAATTAAATGATAAAACGTAACAGAAACAAATCATTTTGTAATATATGTTATTTTAAAAACTTTCTTTTGTGAATTACAGTATAAGAAAAATAGTGTATGTAGATAATATGGAATATCAATTAATCAGGTTTCTACTGTACAATGAATTTACATAAAGATACTAATTAGTATGACTTCAAATACTAAGAGTAATTTTTCAGAGCTATCTTACTGGGAATCCTAATTATTTTTACATTGTGTAACCTTTTTTACTATTAATGCAATGAATTATTTTTATGAAATAGCCATGAAAGTTTTTATTCTAAGTTATTAATGAACTAATTATTATGTATTGTATAATATGAATATTGGTTTATTAGATAAATTAATAAGTAAAAATACTTACACTGCCATTCAATTCTAGAGCAGCTCTGAATGATTCCAAATCTTCAAACTCGACAAAACCAAAACCTGTAAAATTTAATCATCAGTATATTTCTTATAAAATTATCAAAACCATTCATGATTTCAATCTATAATGTTTGTAAAATTTTCAAAGTATAAAAATATTTTACACTTTATCAGTTATTGAACTTTTGTATCAATTTACATTAATTTTATTTAACACAGATTAAAGACATACATTTCCTTTTTTACTTCAGTTTTTTCAAACAAATGAAAAAAATTAAACAAGTATATGTCAATTTTAACTATGTAAAGCCAAAGAAGTTTAGTGGATTTCATGCTTTTTATGCATAAAATCCATTAATTATGCATAAAATCCAAAAGTATTATTCCAATGAAAAATCAACTTCCTGTACATTTCCTAGATATAAATTATCATGTAGATGTCCTTTACACAATTTATGATACCTTTTGAGGTAAAAATGATTTTTTTACACATCTTTAATTATAAATATATAAGCATATAAATGTCAGGTTTTTTTGTGTTGTAAGTCTTACATGTTAATGGTGTTTTTACATGTTTTAACCATGTTTTAGTGTACTTATGTGTTTTTGTGCTTTTTTTTATGCATACAATGTTTTTACACATTTTTTAATTTTCTTAGCTATCTTTTTTTACATGCTTACATTTATCCTCTTTACAGGTGTCAGGTTTTACAAGTTATGTTTTGTGAGGTGGAGATCAATAGCCAAATTACACTTTCTACTTGTCATGTAATAAATAATCAATCAGACATCATTACATATTTTATTAGATATAAATTATTATAAAGTAATTTATTATTTTTATTGAAATTTACCCAAGTTTAATAAATTGTAGAGTATATTCAATACTTCATTAAACTTTATTAAAAATATTTTAAGATAATTGAAAATTTACAAAAATAGGTAATTAGATTATTTTAGTAATAATAAACTATAGATTTAAAAATAATTTTCATATGACAATAACAAGCAGCATTATTAATCTAGTAGTCAAATATCTACGAAAATGTCTACAAATACAAAATTTTTTGAATTTTTGGTTCAAAATTTTTGGTATTATGAAAATTATAAATTTTCATAATACCAATAATCAATAACCTCATTAATAACTCAGAATAAAAAATAATACCAAACCCATATGATGAAATGTAGTTAATAATTCAAGTAGAAAGCACATGAAATCTCACATGAAAACTCAATATATACAATAGTTTTTTGTGAAAAAAAAAACATTTAAAAGAAATATAATTCTATATTCTTTCACATATTTATAATTTTTTTTTTATAAAACTCGTCTCAAACCTCAAAATTAAGCTTTTTTCATTTTATAATAGTACAGTAAAAACTAGTTAAGACGTTCTTGCAAGAGAAGTTTTTCTCTTAAGTTGTTCAAATTCTGCAGCATCATTATTTTGTCATAATCAGTGTCATCGAAAGATGTCACCAGACCAAGAAAAAATTTACACGAATTTTCTGAAAAGATAGCTAGCTAGTTAATCATGTCATATGAGAAGAATTTCTATTAAAAATATTCGCTGGTGCAGCTCATGTAAAAAAGTTATGTATATTGTTTATGAAAGCGCTGCTTATATACTGTTAAATAATTCACTAAAAATCTGTATCAATACTTATGAAAATATTACATACCACCAAACTAATTAGCCATCCAGAATTTCTAGTCTTACCATAAAAATATTAATTTAGACCACTATTTTAAATGACACATTTCTAATCAACTATTCTTGAAATGCAAAATATGACAGCATTTGCACAGCTTTGTCTATCAGGTAATTTAACTAGTGCAATAGTTTCACAAAGTTTAACAGACATTTTGTCAACACTTCAAAACTTTTTCATTCAATGTGTCAATTGATAGAGAATTCATCTTGAACTAATTTATAGTTAAAAGTTTAATATAACAGACTAATCATAATCAGATCACACACTGCAACAAGTTCAAAGACCAATTAATCAAAATAAGTTTTGATTGCTGAAGTATACCTTAAATTTTATACATTTGACAGCTGTTATAGTTAAAAGTTACTTTAGTAACAAAATCCATTGAAAAGTAACCTTTATTAACTTGTTTCAAAGACAACTCCAGTCCAGTCCTGCTTAAGTGATACTAACAGAAATGCTCAATATTACCTGGAAATTTGATTTAGAGTTTTTAAAAAAAGAATTTCACAGTTAAAATTTAATAGGTTGTTCTAAAGGAAAAATTTATATTTGAATATGGTTGTCAGAAAAACATTCCAATAAAAATCATGATTTTTGCTTTTGTTATTGTCATTCTATTTTTTGTTTTAGGAGGATTTTGACTTTCAGATTTCTGTCTTTGAGATGAAGTAGATAATAACTACTCTTATGGTGATTATCAACTTTTGGTCTTTTAAGACAAGTAGATTCCAAATTCAAATTTACTAGTTTAACATTTATACTTGCTGATGAAAACTCAAATGTCATCCTACATTTTCTTAACTAAATTCATATTTGTTTTAAGCTTATTGTTCCAATAAGATCTTGAGTTTAATAAACTCCAGGTTAGATGGAAACTGTTAGTAGTAGTTAATTTAAAAGTTTCTAGAATATTCCTTGAAAGTCTTTCTAAAATCAATATTCATTTCAATTGTTTTTGCAGACAGATTTCAATTGATAATTGGGTCTATCAATCAGACTGAGGCAAATAAACCCAAAGATTCAAGCTCAACATTACTGAAAACTCCATAAATAATGTTTTATGTTTACTAATAATGCACAGCTCAGTAATTCTCCAAAAGTATGGAATGATACAATATTATTGACCAGATAGGCAAGCCCACGTTAGATTAGTGGTGACTGATATTTTTCAATAAACAGTGGTTATTGACTTCCCCTGGAGAAGAAATAATCTAAAACTGTAAATTTTCCTAATTTTAAATCTAATATGCCATTTACAGCTGAATTCCAAATTGTTAAGTAGCCAACCAATCAGAACTTATAGAAAATGAACTGAATCTTGTAGGAATGTACCTCATAATATGCTATCGAGTAATTCTCCTATTCAAATGCAATAATCTTACTGATAACATAGAAATTCCCTTTATGAATTTAAAAAAAAAAACATTTTTTTTTATATTTAATATAATATTTTTGTCATTAACAGTAGGAAAAAGACTCATACACCACTTCAAGATAACACTCTTATCTGCTCAGGATCATCCTGACACTTCCTCCATCTTTCCCACTTTCTGCTCTTCCTCCTCTTTTAGCCTAAATCTTCAAGTAGGCTCTTATCTTTGCTGTGTGACCACATAGAGAGGAAACCTACTGCATATGAAAAAGTTAGTCTGTTCATCAAAAAATAGTCAACGAATCTCCTAGATGAGAAGATGATTCATGAAAAGTTTCATTGCATTTGCTCAAATCATGTATTATGGATGAGAAAACAAACTTCATTCTCTATGTAAGAAATATATTGTTTCACAAGATGCTTTAAACATTAGGTAAGTATATCATTTATATCAATATGTTACTCAGTACTGCATTATTTACAAATTGGATAGAATTTCCAGATGAAGCTTTTAACTGATAAAATTTTTTTTACATGAATCCAAGAAATATTCTCTGCTTGAAAACTAAAGGAAAATTTTTAAATAGTATACAAAATAATTTATAATAATTTTCAATTCAAATATTTTGGCTATATTTATATGTCATACCTTTAAATCTGTTGGTTTCTCTGTCACGAATCATACGAATTTCTCGTATCTATAAAATCAAATCATATTTTAAACCATAATTCAAGTAGTTACAATTTAAACACAAATTTATTAACAAAAATTATTTATGTACAACTGATCTCAAATTTAGAATTGTATAATTTTGACATTGTCTTGTAAGATGCAAGAAAATTTGAAATGTAGAAAAGGTTCAATCTGATGTCTTCAATTTTGTTAAACAACATATTCCTCTCTTAAATTTAAGAAGTGTATGAGTGAGTAATGAGAATTAGGCAATTTAGCATTAGCCAATTGAGACTTTTTAAAAATAAATGACACTGTGATCTTGCACTGGACATAATGGCTATAAGAAAATCAATTTTGATCTACTTCAAAGTTTTAGAATCATTAGTAAGTAAAAAAATTATTTAGTACAAGACAAGTTGTTAATTATTGTGATAAATTAGACATTATAGCATATGTAAGCAAGCTGATGTTATAAAGCTCATTTTTGTTAATAAATTTTTCTTAAAAAATTTCATCAATAAAATTAGTTTTTACAAAATCATTTCACATAAAAAAAAGAGCTTATTTTTAAGTAGTCATTTATCAAATTTAATGCAAATTGTTTTGGTTTCTTCTTCAATATACTGTTTTCCAAATCTATAACAATTTAGAACAACAAAATGTCAAACTATCATGGATTTAAAAGTTTTCATCTTAAATATTCACTAAAAAAAACTTAATTTGTCCAATGAGCAACAAGGTTGGTTTATGATTTATATTAAATCTGATAAACGACCGCATATAACAAAAATGCACAGTTTGATTATTTGACAATTAATAATACTTGTTAATAAACAAATACAGTGGTGCCTCGTATAACGTACGCTGTGAATAACGGACTTTGACCGTTACGTGACTCGAGCAACGGACTTTCCGTTCGGCAGTTACGTGAGACGAACAATGGACTTTCTTCGAACAAGTGCGAATGATGTTTCCACTTTTTTGCCGTTGCCAATGACAATCTGCTATTTTTATAATATATTATTATTAGTAGAATATATTATTAGTATATCTGAAGTACAGAGCTCCCGTTGAGATTCGGCTTGCTCCCTTGTTTATTACGTACATCACCTCAGTGCAGGGTATTTACATTTATTCAAGTGTTGTGCAAATCATGGCTTCTAAAAAAACAGAAAGGTGATTTCAATTGAAACAAGGCAAAGAAATCATCAGAAGGAATGAAAGTTGACAGAAACTTCCTTGTCAAATGGGGAGAGGTTCAGGAGTTTACCAACACTCACTATCCAAACATAGCTGAGACCAATAGTATCAACGATCTCTACAATGACACCCTTGCCCGTCATTTCCGACATGTGTTGAAGAAGAGAGAGAAACAGACCACCTTGGATATGTTTTTCAAGAAGACAGCTGCCAAAAAACAAAGGATGGAACAAGAGGAGTTGACCCTGCAAGCCCCAGTAGCCTCTCCTGACTCTGACTCCGATTAAAAAACAATAAAAAGAGATCTGCTGCAATATGTAAAAGTGTGTGTCTGTATGAATGTGTGATTAAAGTGTTTCTCCGCCCCCTCCTCACATCATCTGATTACTTGGCATAATTGGTGACTGCTCCATTTTCATTTTTTTATGGTACAGTACAGTTATTTTATGCTGCGGAACAAATTATATGTTTTAACATGTATTTCTATGGAAAAATGCGTTTCGTATAACAGATGTTTCACTTAACGGACGTGCACCTGGAACGGATTAAGTACGTTGTATGAGGCACCACTGTACTTTTGTTTGAAATTCTCAAGCAGGAATTAGAACTGGTGCACTCTAATGATTTGAATTCTATTAATACATAATATTGCCAGTCTTATATTAATTTATTTGTAGAATACTGATATAAGTGATCATAATCCACCCTATTTCCCATTAGTTCAGTATCAAGTTGAAGTTACATTTCTGGAAATAGTTTAATTAACCCCTTTAGTTCTTCGCCTGAGTTAACTCGGGCATGTTACATAGCCTTACATAAAACTCGGTCCTTTCAGCCCCCCCAAAAATGTTTTTTTTTTTTGAATTTTTGGAATGTTTTTTAAGTCTCCAAATTTTTTCAAAAATTTTTACCTGCGCAAAAAAATTTTATTGCAATTTTAATGAGCCTTTGATAAGGCTCGATTAAGGCTTAATTGTTTTTTAATGGGAGTTTTTTTATCAAATTTATTTCATGGTTCCTAAGTTGTAGCGCATGGATTTTCCTTCAGTAAAGTTATTTAAAGCTGCTTTCTGATGTCAAAAACCACCTCCAATAGTTTTTAATTTTTTTAATTAATAGATTTGATTATATACAGGTTTAATTAAGTCAGGGGGCTCGGAAATCACAATTAAAATTTGAATTTTTTAAAAATATTTAAAAATATACAGCCAGCTAGAACTCACCCTACTTTAAACCCTTGTCCTCCCGAGACTTCTATGAGAATGTCCCGGGAAATCAGACTCCAGCTGTGTTGAAGGTCATCCAGCTGTGTAAACAATGACTCATCAGTGTCAAATTTCGCAGAAAGGCAAGACAAAGGAAAATAAAGTTTGAAGCTTTTTCTTCAAAATCAACGCATTTCTTTCGTTTTTTCAGTTTTAAGTATTTTTTATGTTTAATTACATTAATATCAAAAATTGCTGGGAACTTAAGGTGTTAATTGTATATTATCAAGATGAAGAAAATTTCAACAGTCAATACAAAATTTATGAAAAAAAAAAATTGATATAGATAGAGCAAGAGAATACCATTTGTCTATAATCCAACAAATATTTATTATGTAGTGTAATTTAATTCTGAACTTAAATATCTTAAATATGTTTGGAGGGAACCAGATATGCCAACATTTCCAGAAAATTGAATTTTGAAATTACATAAAACCTTGCATCAATCACTTGATTAGATTACCATAACAGATAGATATTGTATATATCCACAAAAACAACTTTATTCTTCCAAAGACCTTTAACATGAAAAATGCAATGTATGTCTTGCTGTATCTTCACAACTTTCAAGAAATTTAACTGATTGTTAGTCTCAATCAGATTTAGCCAGTCTATATCCTGCAACTCAAAAATGATTTTCCTTTTGTTTTGCATGTAGGAATAATCCATTCCACATATTATGAACTCCTCCATGAAAACATGAGACCAAAAACATAGTAAATAAAACTAAACTTGTAGAACTGCTTCAACATGACTAGCAATTGGAAAGAAATAAGATCATTTGTAATAGTTGAAAAAAGAAATAATCTTTTTCCTTTTGAGTGTTTAGATATTTTATCATACAAACCAGCCAATAATCTCATAATTGTAATGAAATTCTGCACAGTTGTGAAATTATAATAAATGTGTTATTAAATAATTTTTATATCTTAATAATATACTTTAAACAATTTTAAAGAATTATATTTTTATCTAATTTTTACAAATCATGAACAGTAAATCAAAAATTTGTGCTAATTCAAAATTTGTTAGATTTATTTGGTATTTGCCTGATGAAATTCTTTTAAATATGAAGAATGATAGTTTGTAGAAAGAAATAAACTATTATTTTCTATGAAATATTGTTTTAGTTTATAACAACTTTCATTGATGAAAAGTTCATTATAGAAAATTATGACAATGTTAATGTAAAGGATCTGCTTCTCTAAATTTACAATGCATAAAACAATTCAATTTGTAGAACAAAGCAAAAATATAAAATCATCAAGTCACACTTTTCCAATGAATGAAGAATATATTTTTCTTTTACATAAAATTTTAGCAAAATATAAGTTGAGTCTGGATTAAGTGTCTTAAAAGAATAAAAATACAATAATTTGATATTGAATCTGCAATCAAAACTTATTTTTATTGTTGTACTTAAAATACATTTAGACAGCTACCTTATTACCTTAACAATAAGTTTCAATCTAATCTGATTTTGAATTCTGACTGTATTGGTTTGTAAAGTTTTTTTGATACAAAAGTTAAAAAAGTACTGTGTTTTCATGCATATGACTACAGGTTATCTGTTTTTAAAAATCAATTTGAAAGCAGTGCTTATTATATGCCATTTTTAATTTGCAATCATAAACTTGCACCTATGGAACAATGGCTACTCCTATACACACAGGATGTACAAAAGATGGATTATACAAAGGTTTTATTTTTATTCTAAAAACTTTATATGCAAGAAAATATGATGCATGTTGCACTCTTGCTCCTTTTCTCAAACATGGTCTTAAAATCAGATATTTTCTTCTCAAAACTGATTTCTAAGTAAATCTTGTATAAATTTATTCACCAAATTTAATTAATGATATGCTTAAAAATAGTAAATCTACAACAACTGTCGTATGAGATTGTGCTAATAGTTATAATTATTATAGCTGTTATTTAGCATGCTGTCATATGACAGTTGTAGATTTATTATAATGTATTGGGTTTAGTAAAGATGTTTTCTTTATTTTTTTGCTTAAAAATAGACAATGACATTTTTAGATAACCAACTGTTTAGTATTGCCCCTTTGTGGAAATTATTTGGTTTTGAAAAGAGTAAATCTTTAACTTTGATGTAAGAAACCTTTGTGAATGTGAGAGAGAAATAAGGAAAGAGCTACTGCTATACACTAATTAAATTTTTGAGAAGAAGACTACTACTGCAATTTCTGGAAGAGCTATTCAGAAGCAGATAGAGAGTAAGATGAGAATTAATATACAGGGTGTCCATAAAGTCTGTGTGCAATTTAAAAAATTTATAACTTAGTATTTGTGATAGAAAAAAATCTGTAAAAAGTATTTGAAAGCTTAATGTACTGTACCTAGTTTTAAGTAAAATTATTTACTAATGGATTGAATATTGAAGAGGTGGACTATTTTCCTGGCCTCCACGTTTGCCAGACTTCATTCCATTAATTTTTTTTATGGGGACATGTGAAAACAATAATGTATGCAACCAAACCTCAATCATTAGAAGACTTCAAAGCTAAAATAACTAATGTGATTTCAGGCATTACTG